TAGTAACATACTGCATAAAACTATTTGTCAGCGTCTGAAGTCAGGGACTTACAGTTTAACCTTTGTACGTACATAACACACATGGCTGTATCCCAAACATGGCTGGATCAATCACATTTGTCACACATTTTCACTGTGAGGAGGAGGAGGAGTTTTGTGATTCAACTCAAAAAAATAGAATTTATTAAAAACAAGCTGAATTCATGGGACCATGATGTGCATCATTTTGTTTTACAAGTTAGGATGAAACTTGAGTGCAGAAAACTTGTGAGATTGCATCATCATGCTGAAAGTTATGAAATGACAATGTTTTGCTCTTTTCGAATATTTGTGTTCTGTGGCGTTCTTTGATTTCCATCTTACACTGATAGCAATAAGCAAAGGAAAGTGTTTGACATAAAGATGACGCACAATCTCCAAATATGGAACACATCCAAATGTGTCTGTAGCACATTTTGGCATTTTACAGATGGGTAAATCTTATTGTTTGCGGTGTCAGATATATATATATATAGTAACGATAATTATATACATGTATAAGTATGTACTAGACATGTCTCAGAGTTCCTCACTCATGTTATCTGTCTGCCACAGCTGTTAAAAAGCCAAGGACACAAGCGAAGTCGGCACCACGTAAGAGGTCTGTATCAACCTCGGCAAAAAAGAAAACCCCAGCCAAGCAAGTTTCTAGCGACAGCATCAGCAGTCTTAGCAGGTTTGTAATCTTAAACTTTTCACCACCAGTCTCTCTTCCTAATTTTTCTGCACTTTTTTTTTTATTTTTCAATATTCCTGGAAATGAACCCTAATTTTGGAGCCAACTGACAAAATTTGAGTCAATTTTAATTTTTTTTTCAAAAAATTTGATTATTTGGCTAGGACAGTGCAGAATATAACTATTTTGTAATTTTGTGATGATAAGAGGGAAGTGGTGGTGAAAAGGTTAACTATTGATCATTTATATGTTTTGAGATGCTGGATAATCTAAACCAAATATGCGTATAAATTGATGTACAATTTGAACAAAAATGAGGACATATAATGGGCAACAAAAATTAAAAATATTCTGTTTTCTTATGGATTTGGCATTGGTGTGGTTTGCCCAGGGCGTGGGAAATGTCTAGTTATTCATGGCGGAGTTATTATAAACAAAAGTGGTTCAATCAGTAAAGTGTGCCCTCGTGACATACTACATACATATTGTACATATTTCAAAAGTATGTTAGAGCCAGAAAATTACTTTATAATCATAATCATAAATCATAAATGTTAAGCACAAATATGCACTTATCCATATTAGTTGTGCATTCTAGAGAGTACGCAGGGGTTTTTCTAGAAAAAACTTTGCATTCTATGGATTCCTTGAGGCCAAAATTACTATCAGACAGGTCACAGTTGAAGACAGTGGCAACATGTGATCCCTGGTCAATCAGAATGTTATGGTTGCCAGAGGATCTGCTCCCCAGGGTAAGGGGGCACATGGCCATGGCATGAGGGTGCTGCACCCCTGTTCCCTTGTTTAAAAAAAATCCTGGAGTATGTAGTGAGTGAAGGGAAAACATGTGCATTTTGCTCGTTAAATTCAATCGAGAATGAATTCCAATTTTGTCCCCTTTATATCCCATGTTATGTTTCACATTGATTGCAAAACATTTCTAGCATATCCCTACTCGTGACAAATTTAAAAATTTAATGACATCCAAATTGGTAACAGTGCTTATAAATCTAACTAAATGAGGGAGGATTTCATAAAATTAGTTAGGTACTTCGTGTTGTATATTATATTTAGTCATATGGGCCTGTGGCCCAGAAAGACATTAATTAGTATGAATCATTAAATAGATAACAATCTAATTTAGAATTAGAACCAAAAAAATGAAATCATCTCCATCTTCATCTCCCCTTCACTTCCACATCTTAATAGTAATTCCATTTTCAAATTATATTACTAATAATAAAAAATATTTTTCTGGTACACAGTGACTCTAGCGATGAAGAAGATAAAATCAGTAGTTGGAAGAAAAAAGATGAAGAAAGAAGACGACAGCGAGAAGAAGCTAAAAAGCAAGAAGAAGAGGAAGCGTTAAAACAGCAGCGGGAACGGGAAAAGCAAGAGGAAGAAGAAGAGAAGTTGGAGAAAGAAAAAAGGAAAAAGATGAAAGATGAAAAAAGACACAAAAAAGACGATAAGAAAAGTGAAAAGTCTAAAGATGAAGATAAGTCAGATAAAGCCCGACGGAAAGAAGAAGAAAAACTGGAAAAGGCAAGAAGAAAAGAAGAGGAGAAAACGAGGAAGAAAGAAGAGAAGCTGGAGAAGAAGAGGCAAGAAGCAAGGGAAAAGAAGCGAAAAGAACTTGAGCAAAAGAAACAAGAAAAGGAAAGAGAACGGCGAGAAAGGTTAGAGAAAGAGAAAAAGCTGAGACTTGCAAAAGAAAAAGAAGAAAAGAAAGTGGCAGAGAATGACGATGACAAGGTGAGTAGATTTCATTATTTACCTTCTTTTTTTGGAATATTTTTTAATAACTGGTTTGCGAAGAAAACTATTATGATTATGGTCAACTTATATACACTCACTGGGTTTTCACTTAATTATCAGCAGAATAATTCAGTCTAGATTCTATGGTTACTTTTTTCACATCTCTGTTTCAGCCACAATTCACAAAGCCAACCTACTGTGGGTCGAATTATTTTTAAGCTGTTTGCAACCTCAAGTTGACCTAACTTAATATAATATATTGTTTGTTACAGAAGAAAAGTGCAGAGAAAATTAAGAAAATCACTGAACTGGCAGAAAAACACAAAAAGCAGAAAGAAGAACAAAAAGAAAAACAAGAGATTTTGAAAAAAAGGTCAGAAGATTTCTTATGCAATTCAAGTTATTATTGTCAATTCGCCTCACTTGCGTCATCTCACTACAGAATTATGCTTTATGAATTATGGCTATTAGAAATGAACGAGGAAGTACTATGAGGTCGGGGGCTTTCAACTGAATCAGCTGGGTGCTCTGCAATGAAATAATATTACATTATATTGTTAATACTTTCACTCTTTGCAATCTGTGTTACATTGTTAGGCCTGAGAAATTAGATGAAAAGGAACTCAAGAAGCTTGAGAAGAGAAGAAGTAAGTTTACTTTCTGCATTCATGTTTGTTGTTTTTTTTAGTGGTAAATTATTACAGATTTTTATTTAATTATGTGTGTGTAGCTACTGTGTTTAAAATCAATGTCTGCCACCGTTGAGAAAATGAATTATATATTTTGTCACGAAACTCTGAAAATTGTTATATGTACTACAATCTCTATTGTGTGTAGATACCGAGTTAGAAGCAATGCTAGAAGAACACCATATGACAGTAAAACAGTCACTAGCAATGGAAAATCAGGTATAATACATCTTTCTTCTCAAATTATTCTGCTTAAATCATTACTGTTTCTAATATCACATATTGTGTACTAAGGACCGAGTTGTGCAATGCATGTGAACTTACAAGCAGTAAGTTAGGGTGCCGAGTTAGATGTTAAATGTGCAAGTTCTTAGAAGTAGTAAGTTAGGGTGCCGAGTTAGATGTTAAATGTGCAAGTTCTTAGAAGTAGTAAGTTAGGATGCCGAGTTAGATGTTAGATTTATTTTTACATGTGCAAGTTGGGGTGTCAGTTAGAAATATTCTTAGAAGTAGTAAGTTAACGTAACGTGCTTTGTTAAATGTGGAATTGGCCTTACCATCAAGTCCTTGGTACACTCGCCCAGTGTAGGTGTTCAGCCTAAGGTAGGATTTGAACTTGGATCCTACCGGTCATGAGTCTGATGTGACAACCACTATGCTACCAGTGATAGGTGCCTTGTTAGATGATACAAATTCTCCCACAGATGGCAAGTTAGGGTGCCTTGTTAGAGGTGACAAATACAGTGGCCCCTCACTAAGTCGTGGGTGTCGGGATCCAAGCAAAAACCGTGACTTCTCGAGGGCCGCGACTTACTAAGGGACCTTATAAAAGAGGGAGGACATGCATTGAAAAACATATAAAAGCACATATAAACCCTCAGTTTAGTTAATTGATGTATCATCATGTGTCAGGCAGTATTTCAATGAAATCATGACTATGTTTGCTGTAAACACTGCAGCGATGCGTTTATTTTGATTGTGTCCGATATTATGTGGGTCGTTTGCTGTTGCTTGCGATGTCAATGGTAACAGCTCCCAAAATGAACCAGTTTCATCGCAATTATAAACTTGTTCGTCAAAATAACCACCTTCATAGATAATTTTTCTCAGTTTTTCGGGAAAAGTTCTGAAAGCGTCCATGTTCGCAGATTGAGCTTTGCCTTGGATTGAGACTGCGTGTATAGTGTGTCTTCTTTGCCATCGCAAGAACCACCCTGAACTGGCCTCAAATTCAAAGTCCTCGTATCTAAGTTGCGTGCTTTGCATTGGGAGATGGGACCAGAGAGTGGAGTTCCGGCAGACCGTTCTTGAAGAAACGTAAACAGCTTTATCGATGTCATCATTGTTGGACAATTTCGCACGTTTTTCTGTTCAGTCTCGCCTCTTGGTCAACTTTGAAAACAAATTTACTCTTCATTTTGTACCCACCCACGAATAGTGGGCTCAACCACGGCTAGATCACGTGCAACCTTCACCTCTTCTTGGCCCTTAACTTGGTTTCACCTCTTGACATCGTCGATCGCTGTGAGTTTATGACATACGTACAGGCTGGATAGCGTTCGCTTTGACATGCTGCACAGTTGAGAAATAGAGATCAGATAATGAATTCAACTCATTGTAGCGAGTTTTTGTAGAGGTATACCAAAATGGGACCGGCCAAGAAGCATGTATGATCACTACTTGACACCCCTGTTGACATCTTGAGTAAGGCCGCCATCACCTATTGAATCTTAGCAATTGCTGGACAGGAGGTGTTAAGTTGTCTCTTTAACGGTTAGTTAAAAACACTATGTCACGAAACGTTAGTCTTTGTACTTCAAAACACATTAGAAATTTTGAGAGCCATCCAAGTACTCGCGACTTAACGAGGCGCGGCATAACAAGGCGCGACTTAGCAAGGGGTCACTGTATTTCTGTGGTAACTCACTGCATATATAGATACAATTCTGTGTTTTCTTTTTTTTTCATTTTGTGACGTAGTGTTCAAACAGTATTTAAAGGTTTTCTTTATTCTCTCAGGATTTTGATCGTTGCATCAAAGCCTTGGCTGACATTGATTGTATGGAATTAAGTGGTGCTATGTTTAAAAAGAACACAGATTTTCTACAAACACTGAAAAAGGTGAGATGATATGAGATGACTCATACTTTGTGTACCTGGTACATGAGATGACTCGTACTTTGTGTACCTGGTACATGGGATGGTTCATACCTTGTGTACCTGGTACATGAGATGACTCAACATTAGGTCATACGGTTTTCCAAACTGTCTCAGTCACTCGTTTTTATTTTTTATTTATTTGCAGATAAAAAAATACAAAGGAAACAAAAGAGTGCGAGAGAAAGCTGATTACTTATACAATAAAATAAAACACATATTTCTGAAGGAAGGTGATGCTAATGCCAATGCAGTCAGTCGGGTAGTCTATGAAAAACTTAAAATAAAACAACAGATGAAACAAGCAAAGCAAGCAGGTATGTTTTCTACTTCCATATGCGAAGCACACAATGGGAGTCTTTGCAGTTAATGTGTGTGTGTGTATTTGTGTCCGTCTGTTCCAAAATCCATGCATATTAATTACCCAATTTGCATGATAATTAGCTAATTTTTAGCTGTTCCATGACTGTTCCACTGATAACTAAACAACCACTCATTGGATTTTGATGAAACTTGGTACATAGATGCTTTGAACTGATGCTAGGTTTTGATTAGTTTTTGGTAAAAATCTGTGCATATTAATTACCTAATTTGCATAATAATTAGCCAATTTTTAGCTGTTCCATGACTGTTCCATGACTGTTCCACTGATAACTAAACAACCACTCATTGAATTTTGATGAAACTTGGTACATAGATGCTCTGAACTAATGCTAGGTTTTGATCAGTTTTTGGTGAAAATTTGTGCATATTAATTACCTAATTTTCACTGAAACTTGGGACATAGATGTCATAGGACACTGCACAGACCTGATAGTTTTTAGTACATATTAATAACCTAGTTTCCATAATTAATTAATTTTCAGCTTTTGATATTTCAAGTAGTAAGCATTACATTTCAATGAAACTTAGTACATAGATACTCAAGGACTATGCAGAGATTTATTGTTTTGGAATAAATATTTGTGAATATAAATTACCTAATTTGCATAATTAGTTAATTTTTAGCTTTTCCACGGATATATAAGTACTAATCATCACATTTCACTTAAACTTGGTACATAGATCCTCTAAGACCATGCAGAGACCTGATTAGTTTTAGGGTAAATAATTGTGCATATTAATCACCTAATTTGCATAATTAATCGATTTTCAACTTTCACACTGATAACTCAAGTACCAATCATCACATATCTATAAAACTTTGTACATGGATGCTGTAAGACAATGTACAAACCTGATTAGTTTGGGGTTAAAATCTGTTCATATTAATTCTCTAATTAGCATAATAATTCATATTTTTTTAGTAAATAGATGGTCTGTTACTTTGCGCAGACCTCATTAGTTTTACACTCAAATCTGTTCATATTAATTTTCTGATTTGCATAATTTGTTTTCAGTTTTTCCATCAATATCTCAAATACAAGTAATTTTGAATTATTTTTAATGTTTCTCCAATACTCTCAGCACATGGGAGTTCTTCCTAAGCTTTCTTTGATTTTAGTGTGGTGTTCACATTACACACCTATCACTGGTGTTTGCATTACACAGCTATCACTGGTGTTCACATTGCACAGCTATCACTGGTGTTCACATTACACAGCTATCACTGGTGTTCACATTACACAGCTATCACTGGTGTTTGCATTACACAGCTATCACTGGTGTTCAGTAAGCAAATAACACCGAATAAACGGCAAGGTAAAGACTATGTCTAATTATAGTAAATACGTACTGCGTGCGTGACTCGAACCGGCGCTCGCGTACGGCACCTAATCGCCTAGCTTCACGCCACTACACGTCTTCCCCTCGGCCACCGGGCATCCCCAAAAAAGGATGCTTAATAACCGAGCTTATTACGTGCAGAGAACGTGAAACCCGTCCACGCGATACGCGCCACACAGCATGGCCAGAATGCGGCAAAGGCCTTCAGATCTGGCTGTAGTAGGATGGTGAAAGTAACGGTACAGCATTTTAACAGTGAATAAGTACTGAGAAATAATTTTTAA